TCGGCCCTAATGACATGGGCTCCAGGCAAGGCAGACCTTATTCTAGCTACGATGTCTGGGTTGGAAGAGACTACTTCACACTTGGAAGGGTTCAGGACAAGACCCAGGCTTACTTCTTGCTCCTTTATTTTCCTGATATCTGCCAAGAGATGGTCTACGGTGCCAGCTATAGTGCCATCATCCAAAAACCAGATGTTGAACTCGCTGGACAAGCTTTCGGTGATTTCTTTTAAGACTAAGCAGAAAAGAAGGGGAGCAAGAGGATCACCTTGCTGAACACCTTCACATGATCTGATTTCATGTTCACCAAAGAGCAGTTTTGACTCACCACTGTAGCACGATAGTATGAACGGGTAGAGGGGCCGGAAATGTCGATGTACGGCACAAAGTACTGCATCTCTTCTGACCATGTTGAAGACATTCTTAAAGTCCAGTTTGAGCAGGGCCTTTTCATCAGAAATGTTGGTGATGTATGCTCGTGCTGCATGGGCAGCCGCTTCACAGCCTTGGGGGATTCCAAATCCTAGCTGGATTGGTTTCAGCAATTCAGCCGCTTGCTGGCTGACAACCCTTGTAGCAGCCTTGGCAATCAGGCGTCGGAGAGTGTTGCCAACAGCGATTGGCCTGATTCCTTCGTCCTTCTTTTTGAGAGCACAGAGGGAGGCACCAAAAAAGAGAGGCCTGATGACCTCAGGTATATCACCAGCCAGGCACATGTTGACGAACCTTGTGAGTTCCATAAGAAGATCTTGTGCAGCATCACCAACCGCAGGATTTAACATTTGCTTGATGTGTTGAGGTTTTAACCCTGTAAAGCCGCCTGCTGACCCAGGTGGAAAAGAAAGGGCTGCTTTGTAGACCTCAGATATATATATATATATATATATATATATATATATGTATATATATATATATATATATATATATATATATATATATATATATATATATATATATATATATATATATATATATGTCGTACCTAATAGCCAGAACGCACTTCTCAGCCTACTATTCAAGGCCCGATTTGCCTAATAAGCCAAGTTTTCATGAATTAATGTTTTTTCGTCTACCTAACCTACCTAACCTAACCTAACCTAGCTTTTTTTGGCTTCCTAACCTAACCTTACCTATAAATATAGGTTAGGTTAGGTTAGGTAGGGTTGGTTAGGTTCGGTCATATATCTACGTTAATTTTAACTCCAATAAAAAAAATTGACCTCATACATAGAGAAAAGGGTTGCTTTATCATTTCATAAGAAAAAAATTATAGTAAATATATTAATTCAGGAAAACTTGGCTTATTAGGCAAATCGGGCCTTGAATAGTAGGCTGAGAAGTGAGTTCTGGCTACTAGGTACGACATATATATATATATATATATATGTATATATATATATATATATATATATATATATATATATATATATATATATATATATATATATATATATATATATATATATATACGTCGTACCTAGTAGCCAGAACGCACTTCTCAGCCTACTATGCAAGGCCCGATTTTCTTAATAAGCCAAGTTTTCATGAGTTAATTGTTATTCGACTACCTAACTTACCTAACCTAACCTAACCTAACTTTTTCGGCTACCTAACCTAACCTAACCTATAAAGATAGGTTAGGTTAGGTTAGGTAGGGTTGGTTAGGTTCGGTCATATATCTACGTTAATATTAACTCCAATAAAAAAAATTGACCTCATACATAATTAAATGGGTAGCTTTATCATTTTATAAGAAAAAAGAAAAAAATAGAGAAAATATATTATTTCAGGAAAACTTGGCTTAATAGGCAAATCGGGCCTTGCATAGAAGACCGAGAAGTGCATTCTGGCTACTAGGTACGACATATATATATATATATATATATATATATATATATATATATATATATATATATATATATATATATATATATGTCGTACCTAGTAGCCAGAACGCACTTCTCAGCCTACAATGCAAGGCCCGATTTGCCTAATAAGCCAAGTTTTCATGAATTTATTGTTTTTCGACTGCCTAACCTACCTAACCTAACCTAACCTAACTTTTTCGGCCACCTAACCTAACCTAACCTATTAAGATAGGTTAGGTTAGGTTAGGTAGGGTTGGTTAGGTTCGGTCATATATCTACGTTAATTTTAACTCCAATAAAATAAAATTGACCTCACACATAATGAAATGGGTAGCTTTATCATTTCATCAGAAAAAAATTACAGAAAATATATTAATTCATGAAAACTTGACTTATTAGGCAAATCGGGCCTTGCATAGTAGGCTGAGAAGTGCATTCTGGCTACTAGGTACGACATATATATATATATATATATATATATATATATATATATATATATATATATATATATATATATATATATATATATATATATATATATATATTAGTATATTTTGGTAGCAGTCTTTCCTGTAGACATATATTATTAAATATGACCGAAAAAGTAAGATTAATAATTCTAACACGAATTTTCTCAATCTTTCGTACATTACGCTTCACTGTTGGAGGTAAATCAAAAATCAATTCTCCAAAATTCATTTTTATTTCTAGTCTGACGCGACACGGGCGCGTTTCGTAAAACTTATTACATTTTCAAAGACTTTAGTTCACAAATACACAACTGAATAGAACTTACATATCTCCGATTTTATATCTACATTTGAGTGAGGTGGAAGGGGTGATGTGGCATTAACACAAGACAGAACAAAATGTGGTATTAATAGGGTATTAATTTCATCAACACAAGACAGAACAAGAGTATTAATAGGGTATTAATTTCATCAACACAAGACAGAACACGAAACAATGGATATTGATTAGAAGTGTTTGTAGAAAGCCTATTGGTCCATATTTCTTGATGCTTCTATATTGGAGCGGAGTCTGCTTCAATATAGAAGCATCAAGAAATATGGACCAATAGGCTTTCTACAAACACTTCTATTCAATATCCATTGTTTCGTGTTCTGTCTTGTGTTGATGAAATTAATACCCTATTAATACTCTTGTTCTGTCTTGTGTTGATGAAATTAATACCCTATTAATACCACATTTTGTTCTGTCTTGTGTTAATGCCACATCACCCCTTCCACCTCACTCAAATGTAGATATAAAATCGGAGATATGTAAGTTCTATTCAGTTGTGTATTTGTGAACTAAAGTCTTTGAAAATGTATTAAGTTTTACGAAACGCGCCCGTGTCGCGTCAGACTAGAAATAAAAATGAATTTTGGAGAATTGATTTTTGATTTACCTCCAACAGTAAAGCGTAATGTACGAAAGATTGAGAAAATTCGTGTTAGAATTATTAATCTTACTTTTTCGGTCATATTTAATAATATATATATATATATATATATATATATATATATATATATATATATATATATATATATATATATATATATATATATGTTGCACCTAGTAGCCTGAACGTCGTTCTTGGCCTACAAAGCAAGGCCTAATTTGCCTTATAGGCCAAGTTTTCCTGAATTTATATATTTTTCCAATTTTTTTCTTATGGAATGTTAAATCTGTCCATAAGAAAATTTCCTTGGTACCACATCCACCACCATGTCAGAAGATTTCAACTACCAGAAGACCACAGTCTATATTCTAGCGCCCCATTCCCATAGGACCGAGCCTCATCGCCCAGTAAGTCAAGGTGTTAGGAGCACGTTTACCGGAAATGCAGCTGGGTCAAGGCCTGGCACTAGTTTCTACAACTACAACGCTTCCTCTCACTAACTACTCGTTATCTATAACCACTTTCCCGCTCGCTTAATGGGAATATTGTCTTGTATTTTCATTATCATCATCATCATCATGTAGCAGCCAGCATTAGTCACTGAGATGCAAGTTTCGTTCTAACCACATATCGAAGGCGACATAGTAAAAGGCGAAAGAAAGACTTTGTGTAAATCTTTATATTAAATTCATAAATACATAAGTGTGCGTTTTTGTCCAATATCCATTTTTTTGGTTCATATTTAAAATTGAAAAATTGTCACTTTCCGAGAATTAAACTTGGAATTCAAGACCAATGTATTATTCTATATGCTTGTATTTCCATGGGGAATAGTTTCTTGCCTTTCATATCTTTCCCGATGGAATAATTTAGGGAATGCAATAAGCAGTACATGACATTGAAAGCATTTCTTAATACAATATTTGCTGGCAACTGAGTTTAATGGTTCAAATATAAGTAAGTGACTCGCCATAAACCCCTCTGTTTCTCAGCCACTGCCAACAATTCCCTCAAGAGATTTGCGTAAAGCATTTGAACTCAATCATAATGTTAATTATTTACGAGTTTGGAACATAGCATGCAGTCACATAGTCATGATTATTGTTTATGAAGTGAATTGCAAAAATTGGTATCAGTCACGCTATCCTACAGGACTCCTCACAACACACCATCCACCACAAACTCTTAAACCCGTATTCTACATTCCATCACTCTCCACACTGGCACACTACACACTAGCACTCTAGGTACTGACATCCTATACACTGGTAGGCTACACATTGACATCCTAAACACTAGTACGCTAAACACTAGCACTATATATGTATTGACACCCTACACACTGACACCCTTACATACTGGCACCCTACACACTGACAACACTTACATACTAACAACCTACACACTAGTATGCTACATACTGACACCCAACACATTAGTACGCTACATATTAAAACCCTTCACACTGGCATGCTATATATTGACACCCTACACACTAGTACACTCCATTCTGACACCCAACTCACTGGCACGCTAACATACTGACAACCTGCACACTGGTACGCAACACACTGGCAAGCTGACATACTGACACCCTTTACGCTGGTACGCTACACACTGATAAACTGCAAAGTGGCATTCTGCACACAGGAACGCTACACACTTAAACGCTGCAGAGTGGCATTCTACACACTGGCACGCTAAACACTGGCATGCTGCACACTAGCATGCTGCACACTGGCATGCTTCACACTGGCATGCTACACACTGGCATGCTGCACACTGGCATGCTACACACTGGCATGCTGCACACTGGCATGCTGCACACTGGTACGCTACACACTGGCACGCTACACACTGGCACGCTACACACTGGCACGCTACACACTGGCACGCTACACACTGACTCCCCACACACTGGCACGAAACACTCAAGCACGCTGCACACTAGCACGCTGCCCACTAGCACCCTGCACACTTGCATGCTGCACACTGGCATGCTGCACACTGGCATGCTGCACACTGGCATGCTGCACACTGGAATGCTGCACACTGGCACGCTAAACACTGGCATGCTGCACATTGGCATGCTGCACACTGGCATGCTGCACACTGGCATGCTGCACACTGGCATGCTGCACACTGGCATGCTGCACACTGGCACGCTAAACACTGGCATGCTGCACATTGGCATGCTGCACACTGGCTTGCTGCACACTGGCATGCTGCACACTGGCATGCTGCACACTGGCACGCTAAACACTGGCATGCTGCACATTGGCATCCTGCACACTGGCATGCTGCACACTGGCATGCTGCACACTGGAATGCTGCACACTGGCACGCTAAACACTGGCATGCTGCACATTGGCATGCTGCACACTGGCATGCTGCACACTGGCATGCTGCACACTGGAATGCTGCACACTGGCACGCTAAACACTGGCACGCTACACACTGGCACGCTACACACTAGAACGCTGCACACTGGCACACTACACACTGGCACGCTACACACTAGAACGCTGCACACTGGCACACTACACACTGGCACGCTACACACTAGAACGCTGCACACTGGCACACTACACACTGGCACGCATCACACTAGCATGCTACACACTGGCTCGCTTTAATCTGGCCTGCTGTACTCTGGCACGCTACACACTGGCACGCTACCCACTGGCACGCTACACACTGGCACGCTACACACAGGCACGCTACACACTGGCACGCTAAGCACTGACACGCTAAGCACTGACACGCTAAACAATGGCATGCTGCACACTGGCACGCTACACACTGACACGCTAAACTCTAGCACACTAAACTCAAGCACGTTACACGTTGGCACGCTACACGTTGGCACGTTACACACTTGAACACTACATACAGGCACGCTGCACACTTGCACGCTACACACAGGCACGCTACACACTGACACGCTAAACTCTAGAACACTAAACCCAAGCACGCTACACGTGGACAGGCTACACACAGGCATGCAACAATCTAGCACACTACACACTGGCACGCTACACTCTGGCACGCTGCTCACTGGCACGCAACACACTGGCAAGCAACACACTGGCACGCTACACACTGGCAAGCAACACACTGGCACGCAACACACTGGCATGCCACACACTGGCACGCTACACACTGGCACGCCACACACTGGCACGCTACACACTGGCACGCTGCACACTGGCACGCTACACTCTGGCACGCTGCTCACTGGCACGCAACACACTGGCATGCCACACACTGGCACGCTACACACTGGCACGCCACACACTGGTGCGCTACACACTGGCACGCTTTACTCTGGCACTCTTTACTCTGGCACGCTACACACTGACACGCTACACACTGGGACGCTAAACACTGGCATGCTACACACTGGCACGCTGCACTCTGGCACGCTTTACTGTGGGGCGCTACACACTGGGACGCTACACACTGGGACGCTACACACTGGGACGCTACACACTGACACGCTACCCACTAGAACCCTGGACACTAGCACGCTGCACACTGGCATGCTGCACACTGGCACGTTAAGCACTGACACGCTAAACACTGGCATGCTGCACACTGGCACGTTAAGCACTGACACGCTAACATTGGCATGCTGCACACTGACACGCTAAACTCTAGTACACTGAACTCAAGCACGCAACACGTTGGCACACTACACACTGGCATGCAACACACTGGTACGCTACTCACTGGCACGCTTCACACTGGCACGCTACACACTGGCACGCTGCACACTGGCACCCTACACACTGTCACACATCACACTAGCATGCTACACACTGCCATGTGACACACTGGCACGCTACACACTGGCGCGCTACACACTGACTCCCTACACACTAGCACGAAACACACAAGCACACTACACACTGGCACACTACACACTGGCACGCTACACACTGGCACGCTACACCCTGGCACGCTACACTCTGGTGCGCTACACACTGACTCCCTACACACTGGCACGAAACACTCAAGCACACTGCCACTATCACTCTACACACTGGCATGCTGTATACAGGCATGCTACACAATGGCAAGCTGCACACTGGCATGCTACACACTGGCATGCTACTCACTGGCAAGCTGTACACTGCCTCGCTGCACACTGGCATGCAACACACTGGCAAGCTGCACACTGGCACACTAAAGACTAGCAAGCTTTACACTGGTATGTTACACACTGGCATTCTACACACTGGCATTCTACACACTGACATGCTACGAACTGGCATGCTACACACTGACACGTTGCACACTGGCACACTGCACTCTGGCATGATAAACACTGACACGCTACACACTGGCAAGCTGCACACTGGCACGCTACACACTGGCACACTAAAGACTGGCAAGCTTTACACTGGTATGTTACACACTGGCATTCTACACACTGACATGGTGCACACTGGCATGCTACACACTGACACGCTGCACACTGGCACGCTGCACACTGGCACGCTGCACACTGGCATGATAAACACTGACAAGTTACACACTGGCAAGCTGTACACTGACATGCTACACACTAGAAATATAAAATAGTGGCAAGAGGCGGCATCAGTGGTTATAAATCGGGAAACTGGAAACTGGTGACATCAACCTGGGCCACAAGAGGTCACCTGTACCGACCGGGGGACCAGCCTCGCTACCTACGCTAAGTGCCTGCCATAAAGTTTGAACAAAATAACATATATAATATTACAAATATACGGTATACATATAATATTATAAATATTAAACATATAAATATATATACATATATATTGTTACAAATATACAATATACATATAATATTATAAATATATAGATATATACAACAAAACAAGGCAATATGGGAGTAAATAAACAAATTTGTGGCCACTGTAACAACTTCTTAAAGACGAAGGTAACGGGAATTGAATGTTATATCTGTAAGACTAGATTCCATTCAGCTTGTACAGGAGTGAGTAACACTACGGCACTGAGAGCTGGTCACTTGCTCTGGGTGTGTAAAAATGACCTGCCAGCTTGGAATATCCTAAAAAACCTTCTAGATAACATGACGCATGATCGGAAAACATCATTCATTGGAAGCCTACCAGCCATCCAGAAGGAGTGGGAAAGGAACAACAATTCTAATATACAAGGGGCGGAGGCTATAGTCAGGGATGGAACTGAGGCTGAAGCTCAGGAAGTTGTAAACTCTGACTCAGTAGGCCAGGATGTAGATGACAGTAAACTAGAAAGTGTACCAGACAGCACTGACAGCTCGATAGGTACAGACACTACGACGGTTCCCGATAGAGCAATTCAGAACAGAAGGACAGACTTATGCAAAGGGCATATGCAGACATAGATATGCTGGTAATAAGAAAGGATTAGAATGCAGTTACCAACATCCCAAAAAATGTTTAAATATGCTTAGGAAAGGTGAGTGTCGATTTGGATCAATATGTAGGTTTTTCCATCCTGACATGTGCCAAACCTCACTGGAGGACAGAAAATGCTATGACCTTAGCTGCCCACACTTTCACGTGAAAGGCACGGAACGCTACATGAAGAGTGGCAAGCAGGATAATGAATTTGGAGGAAACTCGATAAATTTTTTATACCAGACCGGCAGAGAATTCAAAAGGAGCAGCATGGAGAGTGTATGGAACTGGATGCCAGATCCACTTGCATTCCAGAATTACAGATACAATTACCCACCGAAAGGGAACTACAACTACGACAGAAAACTGCCCTACAACAATCAGTACTGGTCAGAACAAACTCATTATGTCCACGAATAATGGGCTTGCCGAAAAAGTCTCCCATTCAAACTATCACTAATAGAGTAACCTCATTCATCTTTGCCAACATACAAGGACTGAAAACAAGAACAAACAACAAAGTACAGTTCATAAATGGCCTCCTCACGGAGTCAAATGCAGTATTTGGAGCTTTCACAGAAACCCATGCAGGGGAATTGTTGGACAGTGAGATCTGGATTCCAGGATATAACCTATACAGGTGTGATAGGAAAATTAGGTCACATGGAGGAGTGGGTCTGTATATTAGGGAAGACCTTGTATGCTCGGAGCTCCTAAACGTTACAAATGAGGTGGTAGAGGTACTGGGATTAAAAATAGAGAAAATAAATTTAGTGATTATACTAATATACAAACCGCCAGATGCAACGGCTGAGGAATTCACAGAACAGATAAACAAAATAGAGAATAGCCTTGATAATTTGGAGAACCCGATACCTGATATTATCTTCCTAGGCGACTTCAACTTGCCTAGTCTCAGGTGGAAAATAGCAAACAATAATATTATACCAGGAAATCTATCAGGACCTAACCATCAACAGATTAGAGAACTACTCAGATTCTGTGACAAATTTTCACTCAATCAGCAGATAAAGGAGCCAACAAGAAATGAAAATATTCTAGATCTGGTCTTTACGAACAATGAAGACATTATCAGAGACATTACGATATCAGATACCACATACTCAGATCACAAACTCATTGAAGTGCAAACGACCATCAATACTCAGAATAGACCTAAAACGTTGATAAAGCGAGAGGGGCTATTCAGTAAATTCAATTTTAATAATAAAAGGATAGACTGGGAGATAATAAACAGGGAACTTACAAACATTCCATGGGGAACTGTTCTAAATAATACAAGTCCTACAGAAGGAATAGAAAAACTGACTTCAGAAGCGTATCAAGTCTGTCTGAAACATGTTCCTTTGAGGAAAGCCAGAAAGAGATCTAACGTAGAAAGAGAACGCAGGAAAAAAAATAACGGAACTGCTTATGCAGACACGAATTTCCCGTCAAAGAAGGAATAATTTAAATAGGGAGATTGAAGAAATCGAGCGGAAATTGAAACACTCATATGAAACTGAAGAAAGGCAGTTAGAACAGAAAGCAATTCAGGAAATAAAGAAAAATCCAAAATATTTCTTCTCATATGCGAAATCAAAAGCAAAAACCACTGCCAGTATTGGACCTATTCGTACAAGTGAAGGTTCATACACGGAGGATGACAAAGAAATTAGTGAAATCCTAAAAAAGCAGTATGAGGACATGTTTAGCACTCCAATAAACAACATGAAGGTGGAAGATCCAGACAATTTCTTTATGCGGGATATTCAAACCCCTGTAAATATAACTGATATAAACACGAGCGCACTAAATTTTGAAAAAGAAATTGAAAACATGCCCATGCACTCGGCCCCAGGTCCAGACTCATGGAATTCAATATTTATAAAGAAATGCAAAGTGCCGGTAGCACAGGCACTCAGTATAGTGTGGAGGAAGAGCTTGGACACGGGGGAGATACCAGATGCACTTAAAGTAGCAGACATAGCCCCTCTACACAAGGGAGGGAGCAAAGCATTGGCAAAAAATTATAGACCAGTTGCACTAACATCGCACATCATAAAAGTATTTGAGAGAGTGATTAGGAGTCAGGTCACCAATTTCATGGAGACCAATGACCTTCACAACCCAGGCCAACATGGATTTCGAGCGGGAAGATCGTGCCTCTCACAGCTACTTGAGCACTACGACAAAGTCACTGAGGCATTAGAAGAGAAACAGAATGCTGATGTGATATA